CCAGAAATTCTTACATGTCGTTCTAGATTGAACCATGAACAAAATGCTGCCTTCTCATGTATCATGCAATATGTAATGGATGGGAAACTAGGTGCTTTTTTCATAGATGGCCCGGGAGGAACTGGGAAAACATTTTTATACAATGCATTGTATGCAGAGCTTAGACTAATGAACAAGATTGTGTTGCCGACAGCAACATCAGGTATTGCTGCATCGAACATACCTTCGGGACGTACAGCTCATTCAAGGTTTAAAATCCCACTTGATAGTGATGCTTCTCTGGCATGTGCTGTTCCTAAACAGGGTAGTTTAGCAGCATTACTTAGGGAAACATCACTGATAATATGGGACGAGGCTTCAATGGATAAGAAACAGAATATTGAGTCTTTGGATTTACTATTGTAGGATGTGTGTGATAATAAACTCATGTTTGGAGGTAAGACTGTTGTGTTTGGAGGTGATTTTAGGCAAGTTCTGCCAGTAGTTCCTCATATCAATGAAAGAAGCAGTTGAAACCAGTATTGTTACATCATATTTATGGCCTAAATTCATAAGGTTCAGGTTGATAGAAAATATTAGAGCTCGGGAAGATTTAACATACTCTGAGTTCTTGCTTGCCTTGGGTAATGGTGAGCTACAGAATTCAGAAAAAGCGTATGTACAGATTCCAGACCAAGTAGCTCAATTTTGTGAATCCGGAAACAATTTCATATCTGATCTCATAGAAGCAACGTTCCCTGAAATGATGCAAGGTAACCTTGGTACTGATAGATTTATTGATCGAGCAATCCTAACACCATTAAACGATGAAGTGGATTCGATTAATGCATTCATGATAGAAAAATTTGAAGGCAGAGCTGTTATATACAAGAGTTTTGATATCATGTTGAATGATACATGTAATATATATCCTACGAAATTCATGAATAGCTTGTGCCCAGGAGGAATGAGCCCTCATGAGCTTGTGCTGAAGGAGAACTGTCCGGTAATTCTTTTAAGGAATCTTTTACCTTCGTCTGGTTTGTGCAATGGCACCCGTCTTACTTGTAAGAGGTTTTTCCCAAACGTTATCCAATGTGTAATTGCTACAGGACAGTACAAAGGAGATCATGTTTTCATCCACAGAATCAATTTAAGACCATCTGGTTCTATGAATTATCCTTTCCAATTTGAAAGGAAACAGTTTCCCATCAAGTTAAGCTTTACAATGACAATAAACAAATTCAGGGGCAAACTCTTAATCAGTGTCTATACATCTTCCACGCCCATGTTTTTCTCATGGTCAGCTATATGTTGCTTTGTCAAGGGCTAAAAAGGCAGCAGATGTTGTTGTCTTTTATGCTAAGCCTCCAGATCAACACCCTCAAAACACTGTACAAAATGTAGTGGCTTTTGAAGTGTTGAGGTTGCAGGTGTATTGCATCAGAAGAAGAGACATAAATATCTTTTTAATCAGAGCATTAGAGTAGGACTTCAAAGTATGTTCCCTTTTGTTTCTTTGAAATTAAACAAGTTTTTATATATTTAAGAAGACAGCTGATAGTTCATAGTTATATATTGACAGGATGAAGGAATCCTAAGGCAAAAAACAAGGAAAATCCACCATTAATCATGGTGTTCACGTGATGCGGTTCATGTATTCATTTGATTCTTCTACTCTTCTTGATAATACATTGTAGAATTTGATTTTTATAAATTGTTATGGAGTAATGCTGAATCTTGTGAATGTACATTATTTTTTGCATGCTGACTGCTGTGCTTCTGCTGTCATTCTGCAGTTATAACTTAGAAGATATGGAGGAATATATTCTGCACCTTCTGGTATTGTAGCTTTATCCTCCATTGAAGAGCAGGTTGGGGTATTGAGTCTAATTATCAGTTATTTTTAATAACCGAATATGAATTTCATGATCAAGGTTTATTTTTCGTATTGAACAAAAATTGTTTCTAACTTGCTTCTTGTTACTTCTGCTTTCAATATTGTGCACCAATGTACTAGGTTTGTTATGACAAAGATTGTTTAGTTTTGCTATTTGGTTCATTTAAAGAGTTGTTTACAGAAATGTATACATATATCAGGAGAATTAATATAGTTTATAGCATTTTTCTTTCTAAGATTCTTCAGACTTTAATTCTTTTTAAAATTTTCAAGCTGTGGTTATATGAAGGTGAATAGATCCGGCTAATTACAATTTGACTTAAGTATATAACTAATATTGAAAGCTTGTATTTACAGTAATGACTAGCATATACACAGAATGTTTGAACCACCAAAATATAGGCTTGTTCTGAAAAGGTATGCCTGGTGTCACTGTTCAATGACATGTTAGTTGTTGTGAACCCACACTATTTTATATATGTTACATTGAACATATCATCAGATTATCTAATTAGATTGCTGGTAGATGTAATAGCTGAGCACCTAGAGTATGCTATCTTATTTACTCAGTGCTTTCATCAATGAACATTAGTATAGGGTGCATTCGAATTTATATGCAGGTGGCTACATGATAGACCTGTAACAGAAAATAAACATGTTATTGGTTGTTGGATGTAGCTAGGACCTGAGCTAGATAAAGATTTGCTTAATAGTTAATTTGACATGAGAAAGATTCCAATTCCTACTAGATAGATAGATTGGCTTAAGAAAGAAATATCATAAATGCTTATAAAAGTATTTGACTTGACTGGGACAGAGCAAGCAGTAAGTAGTTGTTATAGCCTCTAAAACATATGACATACCCAGGACAGTAGTTAGTATCTAATTGTTACCCAATTGGGTCTTTTCATCTAAATAATTATCTTGTGAAAAACGAGTTAAAACAATCACAATCTCCTTCCCTTTCAGGAAACTATTACATCTTATAGTAAACTGAACCTGAAGCAGTTTTAAATAGAGGAAGTCTTATACTTTATAAAAGCAGAAAAGTGCTTCCTTCTTTTTTTGGGTTTTTTTGTTTTTGTTTTTTTTTTTCCCCGGTTACCTCTTCTCAATCTACCATGCTTATTGTTATGCCTTTAAAATTTAAGCTTTTGGGAAACATGTTATATCAACATGGTGGTTTAAATGCCTAGACGTTCTTTGTGTGCTCTTCCTTTATCTAGAATCTCATTTCAACATGCTCCAGGTTATTCAATGAAACTAGAAAACATTACTAAATCTTTAAAGCCCATTAGACATATACATTCCATGATATTAATACAATAAACCTGCTCTTATTGCTAATGCTGGAATCAAATGTACATGCCAAGCAGTTTTCTACACTTACTATTAATCTTATTCAAAACAGTACATTAAAGAGTTCTTTTTAACTGAGCTGAACTCTAAATCCTAACATACCTGCAGCCTAATGGACAACTATTTCTAACACAATAGGATCGCTATTTTGTAGGAAAACAGCCCCCAATTTTTCCATAGCATACACCTCCACTGGAATACACTTGTGACATTCTCTCTTTAATTCTGCTACAGATAGTAGCTTATCAAAGCAACTGTCTTCAACATTGTATTCGATACAACCTCTTTATGCGGGTTACTGGGAGGCTACAAACTATGTAACTTTTATAGGAATGTCAAAGTATTGTTTTAATGCCAATGATTATACTTAAGCAGTACATTAATGTTTGCTGACCACATTTGACGATGTTTATTCACAATTTTTACCTTACATGTTTAGCTAGTCAAATGTTTACAATGACTGGAAACTTACATACTTGACTGTATGACCCTGTCATGTTAAGCAGTTTTGAAATGACGCAAACCAGTCATTACAGAAAATAAAACACAAGGTTATTAACTACCTAATAATTTTGAGCTTATCCTATGCAATCTATCATAATGACAAAAGTTACAATTACTCTTCTTGTTGAGCATTGTTATGAATTTGTAAGCTTGCCGCTCGAAAATTTAATTCCGTTATATTATACATGTTAGATTTCTGTAATCTTTCTATTATTACACACTGGCTTTTTTCAAAGGCATTACCCTGCATGATTTAATACTGCAGTCTTACTTAACACATAAATATTAATTTTTCATAACATGCCTATTATACAGATGCAATACATAATTGCCTTTCTTACATAAGTATTAAACATTAACTAACTGATTTTCCACATCTTGTAGTGAATACTTAACGCCTTTATTATTACACACCCATACTACTTCAAATAATACATATTGATGCTAATATATTAGTCAAACATGTGAACCAGAAAGCAGTTCTATGTGGAAAGCTATGCTGGCCCAAGCATCACCTCAAATACTAGAGGAAAACCTGTTTGATAAATCACTAGAGCACCTAAAACCAACTACGGCAAACACGTGTTCGTAGAACGCATTCACACCATTTCATAGTACACATGATATAATGCTACCTTCTTCTCGAACTACTCTTAAGTCCACACACCATTGTTTCCTTTTGTGCCGAAGAAGAACAGTTGTGCATGGATCTGCTGTCCAGAAATGCATTGTAGCAAATGGTACTGGAACAACCTTTTCACAGCAGAATTTAGAAACAACCAGTAGTTAAAAATTTGCTAATACTAATATGATACACAAGTGTGTATAGAAAATATACAGATCTACAGCTTACAGACAATGAAACTTACAATAATTCCTTGGAAAATAACCAGAGGGTTAACCACATATGTAAATGATGGATAAGGACATTGTTGTTGCATTAACCTTAAGTGATTTTTCCATTTCTGCAAAAGACAATGGAAGCCTCCTTCGAGTAACCCTGGTTTGGGTAACTGGTGTACCAAGATTGGTTTTATTCATGGCCATCATATGAAAAAATTTTAGTATGGAATATTTTTCTACCTTTATAGTACATCATCAAGGTATCTCCAACTTCGATATCATTATCTGAGATGAACTCTTTCCAGCCTCCCTCGACATACATTCTAGTGATCATATTTCCAGATTTGGTTCTTCTAATAACAATATCCCATGCTGGTCCATCACTACCGCGGAACATCTTGGCTGCTTCACATTGATTGTATAAGATATGATAAAAAAAAACAGGAATCTCCTAAATCACAGCAAAAACACAGTTAGTTGGTGGGAGCAACATATATATGTATATATATGTATATATGTATATATGTATATATGCATATATATATATATGAATTATTTCTCATAAAAGTTGAAATGTATACATACTGCCATATCTTTGTGTTCTTCTTCAATTCTGAGTATCCATCTCATGATAGCATTGTTTTCAGCCTAACAACATAAGAAGCTGAGAAATTAGCTAAAGGCATGGAAAAACTTATCTAAAACACAAATACAAATAATAGACTTAACAAGGTCATCACAGACCATCTTTACCATGGGTAGACACTTTAAACAAATACTAGAACTTGAGTTCTCACAATAGCTTGGATAGTACCTTTATATAATAAATGATACCTTTCAAAAGAATCTAATTATTAACTGTAGCCATGTGAAGTGCACCATATCCAAATATCTACATAATATAAATTCATATGTCATTGATCAATCAACACGGAAAAAGACTATCTTATATGTGTTGAACCATTCATTACACTTTATATACCAACAATGAGGATTAGGTAACAACATTTTTAAAAAAACAAATGGCAATGGACAACTAAATTAGATTATTTATATGAAATCAAATGTTTGAATCGTGGTTGGTATAAAGGAAATAATAAACTTGGTTGTTTAGTGCACCTTAAGAAACCAATACTGTATTAAAGTATTATTATTGATAAAATGAACAATAAAAAATGTTTGAAACTCAGAGTTCATTATATTTGGTTTTTTGTTTTTTCCCCTTGATCTAGGGTTATTTCAAGTCTCTTGAACTTGCATTTTTCATATAATCTACAAGCTCAATACTTTTAAGGATTGTTAACAGACATAGCCATACTTTTATGATATCACAATCTTTTAAGTAGGCATTCAATAAGTAAACTTTGCATAATAAGAAAATAGTTCAACAACACAGTGTCACAGACCCCCCCCCCCAACAAAAAAGGGTAAATAATTCCTTAATTATTGTAGATAGGATAATAGTCTCAAGTCACGTGTGGGTTAACTTAATCAATTTTAAGAAAACTCTTTTTTTTTTAAATGACAAATTTAAAAAGTCTAGATTTAACCCTTGACATAGTTTGTTACTCCATACTATACAGTTTTTTTCATATCTAATCAGTTCACATATGTTGGGTTTATATAAAATAGGGTTTAATAAGAGGTACCTAAGTACGAAGTACAAATAAATTTAGAAAAATGTTTTCCAGCGACCTAATTAAACAACCAAAACCCTAACGACTATGGAACTCTAAAAATTGTGAATATGGAATAGAGAGAGTATTGTTACAAAAAGTAGAAAGCTAGATAACCCAAGGAATATAATTTATAAACTTATCGACATTAAGAGTAGATATATAGTTATACACACATAGCCAAGGTCATGATGAGCTATTAAGAACTAGAACTAATTAATGACTCAGTGTGGCTTGGATTTCTCTATCTCTTCCATAGTTAATAATCCCATAAGAAACCATTCTGATTTCCTACTTACTGCATACAAAATTATAGTAATACATATGGTTATTTTTAAGTCTACCTTGCATTTAAATCACGTTCCAAAATCCAAAGTAGCAAAATATAATATTGAGCTCAATACTATACATGCATTACTATCATCCTTGACTAAGAATTTACATTACTTACTTAACACCATATATTAGGCCATGAACCTACATTTTTGGTTGGCTATTAAAACTTCGAATTGTAAATGCATTTGTAAAACAAGTCGTATACTAATGGTTTTTCCAATTTAAGTAGAACGCAAAGCGTTACCGCATTCCGTAATGAATTGTGGTTAATTCAATTATAACTAACAACACCTTTGAACTAAAGGTTATTCTACACAGTTTGTACATATTACACTTTGGAAACAAATATATACAATTTACTTACTATAGAAGCAAGCACTTCACATAGTCACATGCACAAAAGAAAGTTACTTAAAGGACATCATAAATTGTACTTGATAGATGAAAGACCACATAAAATCTTTAATTATTTAAAAAATTGAATGGTATCTTACATAAGAAGTCTTCACAACCACTTAAAATCTTTAATCACATAACTTTACAGCTATTTGTGTTATTATATTATTTATATGTTGTACTATCCCCTCAAATTAAGAAGACTAAATCTTTGCAACCCATGCTTGTAACTGTTTGAACTTGACATTACTTAGGGAAGTAGATGACTATCAACTACTGTTTGTGATTTTTAAAAGGCAACAACAAACAGAAATAGAAAAGACAAACACAAAATAGATTAATTATCAAACATAGAAACTTATAAACAAGTAAGATAACGCATATCATTTCTGGAAATAATAATTAGAAAAACAAAGAATTCTAAGTAGCAAAAAAAAAAAAACAAAATTGTACTGGATAACTGTTCTAATCACTTGTAAGTATGGGCTGATTACTATTAGAACCTTTAATCCGTGTCAAAGTTGTTCAAATGATTACTCAGCTACTACTTCCTATTCTTGACTATAAATAGCAACCTCACTTCTTCCCAAAAAAACGCCTTTACAACCCTTAGAATTTCACTTTTTCCTCTTAAGGTACTCTTATCTCTAAAGCCTTGAAATATAGAAATGTATGTATCTTTTAACACCATTCTGTACTGCATATTCAATTCAAGTGTTTACTCACTTATATTGTCATCATAGCCATAAAAGTTATACATCTGTAAAATAGCTTAACACAAATACATGCTATATTAGGAAACTGGTTAACTACCTATTGTAGTTTCTGTTCTGTAATAAATACAAGTGCCTGATTGTTTGTTGCTTTTATGTATAATTTCTTGATACATATTGCATGGAATCTTTTCTGCATAGTGTAAATTTCGTTAAATAAATTCCACTTATTAAATACTGCAGATTGAATTGTTGAAAGTTTTTTCCCATTAATATTTATTACTATGTCGAATATATAAAGAATATTCCAAGCTTAAGAATCTTTTGCATGGAAAAATACATACCAGACTGTATAGAACTATTGATTATATTTTTACAACGGATGATAGCACTTGTGTCAAAATATATTCGGCCTTCTGCACTTGAAAACTTCCTGCATCAGAACTTATAAATCTGCTATCAAGAAGTATTTTTCTGGGATTTATAGAAGATGATTTCATGAATCTGTAAAACATGTATTGTTACTTTGCATACAATGAATTTCACAAGTTACATATTGATTGGATCATATACCTTAATAGTGTTTGTAATGCCACAATATATGAGCTTTTAAAAATCTTTGTGTTAAATCCATTTGTATACTTATATCAATATTAACTGTGGGATTTTACAGACTGCAATTGAAATACAATATGAAGCTTGAACCGGTTTATTTGGATGAACTTAACACTCAGAGCAAAGATTACAAGGTCAGAGTTACGGTTGCTGAAAAGGGTCGTCCTCGAGAATCACCTAAAAAGCCAGGATTAGTCTTCCAAACTCTCATCATGGAAGATGAGAAGGTGAATATGCTTGAACTTGATACTTTATTTTTAACTTCTTTTTATATATATTTGTTCATGAAAAATCTTTGTTTTGGAGCACTGTTTCATAAGCCATAATATGCTAAAAAGTATTGGAATGAGAAATCTGCAACATTAACTTATTAAGTAGCTATATTCAATCCATATTATACTGTCTATATCTAATAAGGAGTGGAAAACCATATAGAATCTGCACAAACTTCTTTTTGATCAAAAATTCTATAGCTGTAATCATATGGATGCCTTAATAAAGTTGTCCTTATGTGTTCAATTCAAACCAGGAATTACATACTTGAAATTGCTTGTGTTTAGTTTAAACCATTTGTTGTTTTAAAAAGATTTACATATGCTGTTTAACTTTTGTTTTACTCATAGAAAAACAAGATGCGTTGCGCTCTTTTCGGAGAGCAGATAAAGGCTTATGAGGATATCTTAAAACCCACAGGAAAGTATGAGATATCTAGGGCTCCTATAGGTGTTGTGGATGATCAGTTCAAATTCAACCTTGAAGAACTTCCGTATCAAATGACTATTGGACAGCAAACTGTTGTGCAGAGGTTGAACCCTGAAGCTGGACCTATTATTCCCATGTATCAGCCTCTGTCGACTATTCCTAGGACAGCTGATCCAGACAGCAAATTTGGTATAAAATTGACTACAGTAATTGCAATTTTTTTTAACAATAAATCAAGTAGCTTTTGTTCTACCTTAATGCTGTTTATATTCCTTGGCTTCAGATGTTGTTGTAGTAGTTCTCTTTGTTGAAGAACAGCCACGCATGATTACTAATTCGCGTGGACGTGAGAGCCCAGTTCGTGAGATAGTTGTCACTGATACAAGGTTACATGAGCTTTGAATAGTTATTCCTTTAGCTTTTACAAGACTTATCATTTATCACTGAGCTGTTGTACTGACATATATTTCAAAATCCATGAAACAACCATGATCAATCTATCACTATTTCAGCATGGAATGATCTTGCTATCAATGATTGTAATACACTCAACAACTGGGCTGACAGGTTCAATGTTGTTGGCTTCACTTCTCTTAGGGCTCAGAACACATCCAGAGGTTAATTACTTCCATATTTTTACAATTCTATTATACAACAACAAATACACACAATGAAGTCTAACATTACCGGTTAATGATGCAGGATTCATTTTGAGCACCACTATGTCAACTCAATTCATTCATGAACCTCAAGGAGATAAAGCAAACGTGCTTCGCGAATGGTACATTTCTTAGTAGTCCATTTGTCATGATCTAATCACTTTTTATCCTACACTTGACCATGATTGCACCTTCATTACAGGGCAAAAGTGTATCCACAAGTCCTGCTTGATAGGCAGGCTAGAGTACTTACTGTCAGATACCCCAGTGAAGAGAAAAAAATCTACACAATTGCAGGATTAAGAAACAAAAAGGTTAAGATTTCACTTCCAGTACTAGAAACTCTATTCATTAAGTAGTAATTATATATCTTTTGACAGCAGTTGATAATGTGTTCTTGCAAAAAAAAAAATACAGCCATCCAATACTATGCAAGAAGAGGTAGCATGGATAAGAGTCACCATACCTAATGCTGAACTTAACAAGATTCATGCCTATGCTGGTTGTCATGAATGCTCTAAACGCACAAATCTTCCTGTGGGATCTCGCTATCGTTGCACTGTCTGCAGGAAAACGGATACGGTCTCTGCTCACAAGTAAATTATTCCTATGCTCTTCCAATCTGTACAATATATATACTTACAACTGCTTCTAATTTAATTCTGTTCATGTTTAATAGAGTTACATTTAAATTTGAAGCAATGGATGACACTGGAGCTATGTCATTCACCACTTTCAATGATGACACAGAGAAACTCTTCAGAATGTCAGCAGCTGAGATTTCTAGCATGAAAAATACTATAAGCATCCCTTTCATTAACAAGTGTCTATGTTCTATTCTTTCATCTATTCACAAATATGTTCTCCATGTTTTATTAGTACTTTGTTAAAAGTAGTGCACACTCTTGGGATTGAACTTCATTCTGCATTCTTAATATTAATCACAACCAAATATATTGCAGCTATATTCAAATATAACTTGTAACTTGTTTGCTCCTTGTGTTTTAAAATTCCATGGATTCCCTATACTATACTTCAATAGATACTTGAATAGGCAATGACTATACACCCTTTACACATTCCAGGAGAACTTAGAAGCTTTTGCAGCTATCCAAGAGATCCTTTCCACCAAACCATTCTTAATCAAGGTGGGGCCCACAAAGGAGTTGTCAATGAATAGTGTGCTCATTTGGACACTCAAATCTGTTGAAATAGAGGATGAAGCAGAACAACCTAAAGCTTCATCACCATCATCTGCAATGGATACAAACCAAGGAGAAGCTGTCACAACAGAACAAGAAAGGAAGCTACAGAGAGAACTGATGCTTGAGGAACGACTACATGGTAAAAAGCCTCTGGTAATGAGTTTAACTCCGAGCCTGCTGAACTCCAAAATCCAGCAACCAGAAATGATGCCAGAATTGCCGAACTTACTCAAATAGAAGAAATGAACTTAGCCTCCCAAACATTTGATGCAGACATGTTTCTGCTATCTGAGCCAAGTCTGGAGCCCCTACAGCTTCCTGAGATAAACACCCTACCAAAGGAAGTTCTCCCAAACTAGAATAAGCTCTCTCGCAAACGTAGCCCACCAAAAAGAAAAGAATCTACTGCTAATGATTCAAAAGAAAGCAAAAATACTGATGACACCCCACCTAAGAAGAAGGTGAAGACAGTGCTGTTTCAAGACACCCATGTTGAAGAAAGTCCTGATGAATTCAACTCTTCATCAACTCAGCCTGAGAACCCATAAAATTCTCAAGATCTTATGATGCATAGTCACCATCTTTTGCCTCTACTAATGGTGATAGTTAGCTTACACTTAATGTTGGTTTTATATATAAGTCTTTTGAGTGCCTGATTTATAGATAGGCCTAAATCTTTTGGGGGGTTTAAAAGAAACAAATGTGAACAAATATTGTTCCCTATAAACACCAGTTATGGGAGTAGTAATGCTGCTAGGTATATTAGAATATAAGTGTAAGCATAAGTGGTAAGATTAGTATTTTGGCAAGAATGACCCCTATCATATATTAGCATCTATGCAATGTACAAAGTAGTATTAGCATATTTTGCCTAATGAAGCAAAATTAATCTATGTACTGGTATCCTTAAATAAGGATTCATATAAATAATATTAGTAAATCTAAGTACTTTTCTTATGTCGATGATTCAAAGTTTACTGTTTTCTGCACAATCAACTGTTTGCAATTCATTTACATAAATATGCTATCAATCCATCTGACTTCTTTTATCACCTATGTCAAAGAAACAAGGTGAGATTTCAGACTACATATTCAGTCTGCTTAGTAAGAAAACAACACAGTACAACAAAAAAAAGTTCATCATGCTAAGACATATTAAGTAATTGTTCCCGAATTACCATTTTCACTGCCAACTAAAATTTCTCCATCATTAGAACATCATTATGTAATGAAAATATAAAGACGAATTCTTTAATATAATTGGATTGTGTTATGTCTTTAAAAGCATAGCAAAAATATCCAAAACGAAAAAAACATAATAATAGCCAGAAGGTAGCAACTGTTTTCAAATTACAGTTACATGATATTTCACATTACAGTCACGTCTAAGTTACTAAAGTTCTAAACAAAACAACCTTCAAGCACCTTAATCCACTTTATTAGAACATTCCCTACATCCTTCACACAGGCTAATCATACTAGAACTAAATCCACATCGAACACTATAGGATGACCTTTCCCATATTTGAAAAGCCCAGCTTCATCCACCTGAACATTGTAATAGTCCATGAACTCTCTGACTCCATTCTTCAAAGAACATTGAATGATCTTATTCTTCTTCATCAAAATCTTCAATTCAACATCAAACTGTTTATCAAAATTCTGTAAGACCACAACAGTTGTTGGAGGGAATCCCATGAAATGATCTTTTGCAAAAGGCAGAGGAATATTCTGCTAGCACAAGATCAAAACGTTACATACAACAAACAAACACAATCATACAAGAGAAAACACCAATCATAATATACATTCATGGAATAAGCTTCACAGAGACTACAAATCATACTAATTAACTTCATAGCAAACTTACTATTGTGGCCTGTTCGAAGTATTTTTGAGTGAAAGAAAACTTGAAGAAATCTTCATCAGACTCATCTGCAAGTGCATCGAGCCAGGCATTTGCCTCCTTCATTTTTTCAGAACTATCTTCAATAGCTGGCTTACGGCCACGCTTTTTGCCAGAGTCACCACATCCATGAGCTTGTCTTGCTCTCACACCCTATGGGGGTCCAGTACGGTAAATAATTCTAACCGCAAATGTATTATCACCATTATACTTAAACATTAGAACATCCCCAACATTTAAAGCATTGTCGTCCATAAAATCTGACCACCCTATGTCGAGATACATCTTCCAACCATTATCAAATTCTTCATGCAATAGAGTGACAAACCAAGAATCAGCATTACCATCTACCAACAGTTCAATGTTGAGAAAGCCATCTTCTAAGACCTTTTCCAACCCATCAGGGACACTTTATAACATATAAACAACAAAGTAAGCAGACATGAACATGCAAAGCCAGGCTAAAAATACAAACCTTACAACCTACAATGTTACAAAGATCAATCAATGATTCTAATATCTCAAAACTACTAATCAATTAAAATGCTAACAAACTAATATTCAATTCCACATCCAAAAACAAAAAATTATAGTTGATACGAGAAATTCCTTCAAAGCCAACAACATGCAATAGGATTAATTACCTCTTATTTCGATGCAATGAAACACGACACTAGATTGCAATAACAGCAACTCCGCTCAACCTAAACACTACCAGCCTAAACTGTAAGGATTTTGTATCTGTCAATCACCTGCACTCATCCTTCATCCCGCACAAATTCTCATTGCAAAACCAATCACCAATATCATACTTTATTACGCCCAAATTAAAACAGCAGGTTTACAAGCAATATATCACAACAACCCTAAAATTCACAATTCAAAGGATTATTGCAATTCCTCAGCCAACAAAAACAAACACAAGAGGACAAACACCACAATTAATAAATAACCCTTTTCAATTTCAAAATCAGAACATAAAACATATCACAACAAAACATCCTCAGGAAAAAACAAATCAAAGAAAAAACCCCAGACAAAATATGCAAAATACCGAATTCAACAAACCCTTAGTTTTGTCCTACCAGTTTCTCTCGAGTTTCTGCTTCCACGCGAATGGTGAATGACATTGGAGCTTCACCCATTGCACTTTAGATATCCAGAGAATATATGTAAGATTTGTTTGAAAACAATATCCAAGACCTACGTTACAAGAGTATATATAACCTTATGGAGCTCAAAAGACTCAAGTTACAAAAGCATTAAATGAATTTTAAAAACCTAATTAATTAGGAAACACATATCTCAACGTCTATGCTTGTAATGCTAGCCTCACAGTAAGACAAATATTTCACAGTTTTATTTTTCCCATAGTTCAACTTACAAATGATTAATATTCCTTTATAGCACTGATATAAAATAGCAGTGCGTAGTTCCAAACAAAATGTATACTGCAATATTCCTCATCCCTTTATGCTAAAAACAAACAAGAATCAAATGAAACATGCAATGCCTTTAACCAACAACTACATTGTATATATGTACATTCATTAGTGTTAAACCATATTATAAACATTATAACGCCTAGCTAAATCGCTGCATCAAAACACCGTTGACGTCACGCCTAGCTAAATCGCTGCATCAAAACAACGTTGACGTCATTCATAGCACAACGTTGGGGGGGCGCGCGCGTTGCGCGCGCACCAACAACTAGTGTATATATACATATATATATATGTATATACATATATATATAGAACTAAGATCATGTGAGAACCATGTTGAATTATAGGAACTAAGAACCTATCTGCACCGTTGATCACGACTCATCAGACGGTCTACATTAGACTCGCTTCATTACGGGTATTATCGTAATAATTCGCTTTGAATGACTACCCAGGATTTCCTCCGTTTCTTTTTTTTCTCTCTCTATTTTCTTTAGATTTTCTCTCTCTTCCTCTACACTATCTGTGAAGCGATTTTCTTTGATATGCTCTTCGATTTCTTCCGTTTTGTTCATCAATTTGTCGCATTTTCTTGTTAAGGTATGTAAATTTCGATTTATTAGTTTGTTTAATTTGCTCGATTCAGTTAAAGTTTGCTCAATTTGGTTTCGATTAATTCGAGTTTGAATCTAGGGTTTTAGCTATTTTTTGTTTGAGTAATTTGTGTGTTTGCATTTTTTAATCAGATTAATTGGTCAAAAATTTGAAGCTTTTTATACTATTTTCTGCTTTATTATTGTGAATTTGATATTGTATTTTCTTTAATTGAAGTTTTACTCCTCTTTGTGGCGAATTTTTCTCCAACGATATACAGCTAAGGTAAATCCGTAATTTTCTTACAACTTTGATTATTGAATTTCTCGAGATTTCAATTGAGTTTACTGAATTTAATATTGTTCGAATTGTGGATTTTCTTAATTGGATTTCTGGTTGAAACTTTATAATTCTGAATCGTTTTTTATTTATTTTTTAATTCTGAATAGTTTAATGATATTGTAGCTTATTGTTGTTTACTCGATTTAATTACTAGTGTTTTGGTTTGGTTAGGGTTTTCGTTTTTTACTTGATTTCATTGATTTTTTTAGTTGAGACGCTTAGCTTTGTATTATTGGATTTTTTTTTATCTGGATTATGTTTTGATGCTTGTCTTTGAATTTTCACGAAAATTGTATTATGTGTGTCTTTTGATTATGTTTCAATTTTCTTTGCTTTTTGCTTTTAAATTCTTATTATTTACCTTTTATTTAGTTTGCTTTGCTTTTTATAATTTTTTATTTACTTTGTGGTATGGCATTGTATGTATAAATTGTTCTGAAAGTTGGTTTAAGCTATTTGCTAGCATTTCTATGTCTTTTTGTTGTATTTTGGAACTTAATGAGATTTTGATATCGATGTACTAAACATTTCTTAGCGTTTCTATGGTAGCTAGTATAGGTGTTATATTGCACTTATGGGTAGATGATGGCATACAATGTGGCGATTATTGATTTTATTTTTTATTCTGATTGTGATTTGGTGCATGAGAATTTGTTCATTTATTCCTTGTTTCATTGAATAGACTATAAATCTATAATAAAATAATTTTCTAAAATTTGAGCTCTTACTAGTGTTGATAAGGTTCCTTTTCCTCTCACTTCTGGTGTTTATTATTCACACAGGTGCGGAGATGGATGTCATCCCGCTTCACACTTCCATAACAAGTAGACTGAGTTATACTACATATTGTTGCTCTTGTACAATATGTATTACATACTATATTACAAGAGTAGCAGCAAAATATATTGCTATTAAGTTATATAGTCTTATTTGAGAAGACTATATAAAGAGCAGATATAGGGAATTGCAGATTGAGCTATATTACAAGAATAGCAGTCTGCAGATACAGGGAATTGCATATGCGTAAATGAACTAAACAACTTAGCTATCTGAACAAGTAAGAACGATCTAAAACCCCCAGCGAGTGTACATACACTTTATTGATTATTGTGTTTACCTTTTAGATTGTTTGGTTTACTTTTGAATAATTTTTATTTAATACATACGGATGTTTTATTTACACACTCAATTCTTTATGCTGCCTTGATTTGCAATGACTCTTTTTTGTCACTAACCTACTAGCTTAATTGGTAGGCTGCAACTGCTGCTCTGGAGGCCCTGCCAAGCCTGCAGCTGCTGCTCTGGAGGCCTTGCCAAGCCTGCAGCTGCTGCTCTACCAATGCTGCTTAGGTTGCTGCTACAGCTGCTGCCCCGACATGGCCTGCTGCTGCAGCTGCTGCCCTGCCATGGCTTGCTACTACAGCTGCTACTTTTGCGCTGCCAAGGGTGCTGTTGCAACTGCTGCTTTGATTTTCATTTTTTGATTTTATCTACTTTTTCAACATGTCCCTTCTCATTGTGGACATGGTCCTTTCTGCATATATATTAGGATAGTAATTAAGCTTTTCTTATTTACTTTTGAGTATTTTTATTTACTTTTGTGATTTTTCAGTATATAGACAAAAAAAAAACGATCGATTGTGTCAACTAATTATTCTTACTCTATAATAGCCTACTAGCTCAATAGTTAGAGCATTGTGCAAGTGCACAAAAGATGTGGGTTCGAATCCCACGTAGGTTCTTCTAACGCCTCGAACCATTGTAATGTAATTATTTTTTTTAATACTTTTGAGTTTTTCTAATTTTCATTTGAGTAAATATTAACTACTCTAAAAGTGAAATTATTTACTTAAATGATACTTTGAGAAACTGTTTAGCATTTTTTTAATTTACTTTAGATTAATTATTATTTACTTTTGACATAGTTTGCTTTAATTTTGATTTCTAACAAGATTATCTCCTAAACTAAGTACACCAAACTCGCCTCTTTGCACAAACCAAAACTGCACCCTTTGAGCCCCTCAAAACCACTTCAGCCCTGCACAAATTCTACTCACAAAATGAGCATATGTATTCATCACCTTTACATACCCAACAGGAGGGCATTTCCACGTGTTTACAGTTAGCTATGCTGTAGCACAAGGTGCATCACTAAATACTCTCTGCGCATAGATTAAGTACTCCTCCACCATCTTTTATTTACATAACCCGCAGCCAAGGCAATAGCATTAGGATTCGTGTTCTCAAATTACGTCTTATTTCTACATGTCCATGCCGCCCACATTAAAGTAGCTGCTGTCCTTAACTCACCAGAGCTTAATTTCAAAGCAAGCCAAACCCATCTTTCTATAAAAGAGGCAGAGGGTGTATCAGCAATCACAATAGCTAGAGGGTGATGCTGCCATATAGGAGCTGCCACCTTCCAATCAAAAATGGAATGAATTATTGTCTCAGAGCTAGCACCACGAATTGGGCAGATCGCATCCCCTATTATATGACGCTTTTGAAGCCTTTCTTTGACTGCCAGACTGCCTTTATAGGCCCTCCACAAGAAGTGTCTCGGGTTTGGTGGACCTCGTAGCAACCAAATCCCACACCAAAGGTTCTCCTCCCCACCATTTACCATCAGCAAACTGATCTTGATGACCCAATTTTGCAAGCCAATAACCAGATTTTACCGAGTATACACCTTCTTTAGAGATACATTAATTTACTTTTACTGCTTTTCTATTTACTTTTGAGATATTTTTTTACTTTAGTGTAATTTTTCCTTCATCATTAATCTATCACTTTGAGTGACGGTAAAGAGAGCAGGTGTGTCCACTATAGGATCGAGTTAACCTCATGTTACACTGATCATAAAAAAAGCAACCTCTTTTGTTTGTATACCTTAGAACTAATTTGATTTACTTTTGAGATGTTTTGTATTACTTTAGAGTGTCTAATATTTACTTTTAGAGATAATCTATATAGGAATCGAGCCTACACCTCTAAGCATCCGCATAGTGCTTTACCATTTGAGCTAATAGGTTTACTTTAAAGTCTTTTTTGTTTACTTTAGATTTGATTAAATTTACTTTCAGTTTAGAGATAACTGATGCAGGAATTACCTTATTCAACCTTACTCATCTTCTGTATTTTTATGTAGGATCATCTTTTAGAGCAAGATACATAGTTGTTATGTTACTACTTTTTTAGTTATTTTGAATAACTTTAGATTGTTTTATAATATTTACTTTTAGAAATATAACCTATGTAGGAATTGAACCTACATCTCTATGCATTCGCATAGTGCTCTACCACTTGAGCTAATAGGTTTACTTCAAATTCGTTTTTATTCAATTTACATTCTTTTTTATTAACTTCAAATTAAAGTCTTATTCAGTTTAGATTTTTTTATTTAGTTAAAGAATGATCTTGATCATAGATGAGAAAACCTCCTCCATATGATGAGGATAAATCTGTACTAATGAAAATATAAATCTAAGGCCACATTTTACAAATTCAAAAGTTGAAATCAATCTCACCTCCTTCCTTTACACTATCAACCGGACAACCATTTCAGTATCTCCATACTACAATTGTTGATCCTTAAAAGCTGCAGCAGTAGCAATACCATCAATTATTTATTAGAGCACTACTAGTTTTATCATCTAGTTCTACATGTGCTTCATTTGGAGGCTTATTTGCATAGCTTCCACCCACACTAAATTGTGAAGACCCAAAGCTAAATTGTAAAGTTTATCAATAGTCAAGATATTAACTCTATTCTTTATATATAATACACAATACCCTTCAGCATTTATCCCATTCTTTACCAATATGTTATACTTTTAAAGAGATATATTTTACATTTGCTCAATTTTAGTTTACTAACACATTTTAGTCACCAAGTTATACTAGTGTCATTCTAATTTACAAAGAACATAAACACCAGAACAATTATTTAACAATCAGCACAAAACATGAGCAAGTGGCATTCATTATGGCTGAAGATTATTGAAAAAGTCCTCACCCATAAACTATTTGATCATCTACTTTGGCAGCTATTCAGTATACTTTTAAAGACATCTAGTTTACTTTAAGTGGAAATGTATTCAAGGCCACTTAAAAGTAACTAGAATAAAAATTCAGCTTGCAAAACACTTAATAGTTAAAGGATTTCAGGAAAAAAAAAAAACTTATTCTGTGATATACTTGTTTTTTTTTTTTTTTTTTTTTTTTTTTCTTTGAGCAAAATAAATTCATTATATCAATTAAAACCCTCACATCAAATCAAAAAATAAACCACGTTTGATATCAATGTCTCAAATAAGATCGCGAGGTGAACCAGCTCCAAAAGCAATTATAACATACTCTAAGCACCCATATACAACAAAAAGATTCACTAACAACAAAGTAGAAATTATGAGCATAAAAATCAAACACAAATAAGTTCCTAATAATTAAGTAACAACCAAAGAACCATGACATAGAAAGGAGGAAGTAATTGAGATATCATTAAGTCTTTCGATTTACTTAAAAATACAATTGATTTACTTTTACTTAGTTTCTATCTACATTTGAAATTGATAATATAATAGGATTCATTGGGGCATTTTGTCGAACATTTAGTATGTATCGCTTGATTTTGCTTAAATTTTGATGAAATGTAAACAGAAATTATTGAATACAAATAACAAAATTTAGAAATTGAATAGAAGTGAATTCGCCAAAATTTCGAGCAAAACTAATCAGATTCGAGCCTTAATTTTCTTTATAAAAAAATTGAGCCTTAAATTGACAAAATAAAAAATCCAAAGAGAAGGAATTCAAAATGTTGAATTGAAATCATACCTGTATTTGACTGAAAATTTGAGTCACAATTGGGAAACTTGGAAGCTGGATTTGGAGAGAAATTATGTTCTTGAGGAGAGAGAAAGTAGTATGAGTTTGTGAGAAGGGAAGAACGAGATTATCAATTTCCAACACAACACGCGCAACTACATCTTAATCATTAATTTTGCTCAGATCTAACGGTCCGTATTAGTTCCTAGTTCTTATAATAGACAAGACTAGGGCTGGATCGGGTCGGGATGTGAGTCATGCCAATGTTGATCACCTCTTAAAAAATCCTTACCAAAGATATCATTTCCCCAAAAAATAGTTTTCTATCTCTCCAAAAAAAAATTCAACTTCCCATAATAATTTAGTTTTTTTTACTCTAACATTATTTTCAATTAAAAATAATTTAAGATTTCAATATCAAATTTCAAAATACCAAATGTTAAAAAGAACATAATTTATATTGTAAAGTACATATAGTTAATACCTAAATAACACACTAATCAAACTCAAAGAATGTGCGATAATAAAAGTAATTTAAATATGACATGATAATAAAAAATAGAATTTGGGCGTCATTACGACCTTAAAGAACATACACGCCAAATTCAAAGAACATACTTTGTATTATTAAACCCAAAAAAAATATGTTTATCAACATATGTTAAATAACATAAGTTATAATGTAAAGAACATATAATTTTACTCAAAGAACACACTGATCACACTCAAATAACATATTAAAGGTATGTTCTTTGTCAAACATAGGTATGTTCTTTATCAAACACTATATGTTCTTTCCGCCTTTTTTTGTTTACCTGGGTGCACCATGAGCATGGTGCACCCGGGTGTATTATCTAATTTTCACTGTATAAATGTGGTCAAATAGATATAGTTACCTTATTATTATATATAGTGACCTTCATTATTTTTAATTTTATATATAGTGGCCTTTGTGTAAATGTGGTCAAAATTGATATAGTTACCTTATTTTTGTATATAGTGACCTTTATGTAATGTGGTTAAAATTGATATAATTACCCTATTTTTGTATACAGTGACCTCTAAGGAAATATTTTAAAAATTGATATAGTTACCTTATTTCTATATATAGTGACCTCGATGTAAATGTCATCAATTTTTAATATAACTCGATATAATTACCTTATTTTTGTATATAGTGACCTCTGGGTTGTTTCACACCATCAGATTATCTAGTGAACATTCAATGGCTAAGATTGCTTGTTTTTAGTTTTCACCATAAGCACTGTTTTCAGCGGAACCTCCCCGTATATATATATATATATATATATATATATATATATATATATATATATATATATATATATATATATATATATAGGGGAGGGATCCGGTGAGAATAGGTTCTTATGTGAGAACATTCCTAATATATGAGAACAAATCTAAGCCTTAGGATCAAACGATCTCAACGGCTCTAATAAAACCAAACTTTTCATCAGTATACTTGTTAATCAGAAAAACAGAGTGAAGAAACTACGAGCTTCAATTTCAATGAGATTCAAGGATTTCGAACACAATTCCGTTCGATTTTTGTTAGATTTCAGCAATAGCAAGAATCAACAAGCTTCATAGATTATTCGGGTAAATAATCAACAAAAGTTCTGTTAGTTTTTTCCTTAATTTTTGTCAGTAATTTTCGAATTTCATGGTTTGAATGTTGGATTTTTGTTATAATTTTAGTAATGAGTGATCTTAATTTAGTATTTTCGTTAAAATTTACAGATTTGATGTTCTAATATTCGATTTTAGTGTTCTGGAAAATTTTAGTGTTCTTATGCGATTTTTCGATTTTTTGCTTCAATTTTTTGCTGTGATTTTGTTTGATTATGTTTGCTGCGATTTTGTTCGATTTACTATATGATTTTGTTTGATTATGTTTGCTGCAATTTTAATTCTTATGATTTTGTTTGCTGCGATTTTGTTCGATTTTCGATTATGTTTGCTTTATGTTTGATTATGTGG